TTAAAATACATATATATATATATTTCCATGTGGTGCTTATTTCACAGTTCTTCACAATCATCACATGTAATGCACCAAAGTTTGTTCTACTGTCATGTATCTCTTATGTTATTCTTCTACTCTAACAAGAAAAAGCACTTCCTTTTGGAAAGATGTATCGAATTGATTTTCAAAATCCTCTTCCTCACTTAAATTATGTGTTTCTCTAAACTAAATAAATAAACAAACCATTTAATCACTTAGTATCCCAGTTTAGAGACAACCAGGAAATGCCATGGTAAATTTAAAGTCACCTATTCAAAGCAATGATAAATATCATTCCAACTTAAGTCAAGATGGAGATGGAACATAAATATAGTTAGAATCAGTGATTTGGAAATTGAGAAGTGTTAGTTTCTGTATTCATCTTATACATATGAATCTACCTCTACTTGGCAACTCTGAATGACAAATAATTATATTAGGAATTGATCTATTCAAAAAGTGAATCATCCTTAAACTTACCTTGAGATTAAACGATAACACTGGAATAAGAAACATGAAAACGCTTTAAGGAAAAAATGGCATGCAAAACTAACGAAACAAGAGGAACAGTAAAATATACAGCTTGAGCAAGTGAGCATTTTTTTTTTTTTTTGGCATAACTTTTTCTTCCAGTTGGTCATCACTAAATCATTCAAAAGGCTGGCAGAATAGTTTCCAATCCTGATTGCTATAGTGGAATTACATTTTGTTTTTTTCCTAAAACCAGGTGTTATTTTTCCCCTACAAATGTAATTTCAAATACAAGTTAACACAGAGTTCTGATTTTAATTCTGTAGTATTGAGAGATTCTAAAAACTTAAGACCAAAGAAACATGTTAACTTGAGTTTTTCAATGTAGGAAAGATCACTTCTTTACTGAACAAGCCATTTCTACATAAACTCTAACCTCGTTCTTAAAAATCTTATATAGTAGCTGTTGAGAGAAATGACAAATATTGTACTTTAATTTTTAGAAATACTGTTCTATATAATGTAACTTCAGTCTCCAAAGACTCCTGTAGTTCTAGAAAGTACATTCCTCACTCTATGATATACACTCTACTCACTACTTAAAATAATTGGATTTTATTTTTAAAACATAACTTTGGAGTAAATTTCATGTCCCTAAAGATGTTTTCTATTTTGTACCAATATGTGAAATGTCTCATTTCTCTTGAAATTCATTTTATAGCCAAAGAGTATCATACTGAATCAAAAGTTTCTCTAGGATGATTCACATTTTTCTTGCCAACTATTATGACTGAATTTAGATTGTTGGGCCAAGAAATTGTACATGATACCAGATCCAAGTTTGTATTCCTATATAATAAACTACCTGAAATTTAGCAGCTTAAAACAATCATTTATCATTTTCTCATACAGTTGTGGAGGCTGATGGGCTCAGCTGGGCAATTCTTGTTTAACATAACTCATAAAATCGTAGGCAAATCATAACTGTGACTGGAGTCACCCAAAGGCTTCTTTACTCATATATCTGGTGCCCAGGATAGGAGATGGCAGGAAGAGCTGGGGACTGAGGGCTGATCTGGCCTATTTTTCACCCTCATTTTCTCCGCCTCCCCCATGTGGCTTCTCCAAAGGATTTGCTTGGTCTCCTTTACAGTCCTGATACACTCAAGACAGTTAGACTTCTTACATGGTGGCTGTCTCCTATCAAGAAAACATTCCAAGTTGCCTGAATGGAAACTGCAAGGCTTTTGATAAGTCAGCCTCAGAAATCTCAGAATGTTACTCTTGCATTCTATTGGCTAAGCAGGTCTCTAAGGTCAAGAGGAGAGGAGTTCGAAGGCACCTCTCAAAGTTAGAAGTTACAAAGAAGTTATGGCCATCTTTAACTTACCACAATGCCTCTTCAAAAAAGATTATGAAATTTCTTTAAACTTTTTCTTCCCTTCATAGCGAATTTTAAGAGATTGGGATTCGTTTAAAACCACTAAACACTGAGTATGTTTGTTATTTAACTAATTTATTAATTGGTTACTAATTAGCAATTAAGAAAAATGATATGGAAACTAATATGAAATTTTCCTGAGACCTCAGTTTGGCTTATTGACAGAAACATTTTTTAGAAAATATTTTTAAATAACTATCAAGAATGTATTCTGTGGATATCTAGCCATTAATAAAAAGGTGAGTAATCATGCAAAGAGTAAGTGATCTCATCAACTTTCCATCCCTTTCCAATTTACTTTCTAGTTATCAGGAGCATCAAAAAGCTGCCAGGTGCATTTCTGAGGGTATTTAGTACTCCCTGAATTATGCCAGCTACTATACCACCATCAAATGGAGCCACTCTGCTTCCCAGACGTTCCATGTTTTGATTTGTTTAACACAACTCATTTTCATTACACCTAGAGCATTACCATAGAAGCATGATCTGACAGAAAGTTATGTATTAAGCAAAGATAAATATTTTAAATAACATAACCAATTCCCAAATGTATAGGCTGATGATAAGGAAGTGTGTTCTTTCAATGGCAGATGATTTCCCTAAATAAACCAGCTGTTTGACTTTTAGATGTCTGTTCCGGTTATGTACTATTGCTTAACAAACAATTACAAATTTAAATTTTTAAATATTTATTTATTTTGATAGTGAGACAGAGAGTGCATGCACACACATGAGCAGGAGAAGGGCAGGAGGGGCAGGGGGGAAGAGAATCCCAAGCAGGCTCTGCACTGTCAGCACATAGCCTGACGAATGCTCAGTCCCATGAATGAAGAGACCATGACCTGACCTGAGTCAAAATCAAGAGTCAGAAGCTTATCTGACTGAGCCACCCAGGCACCCTCGAACTATCACAAATTAATGGCTTGAAAAACACCACCATTTTATTATACATCACAAATCTGTAGATCAGCATTTTGGGCAGAGCTATGCTGGGCAACTCTTCCTCACATAGCACTGACTGGGAGCATTCACTGATATTCAGCAGGCAGCTGGACTGAGCTAGAGGGTTCAAAACAGTGTCACTCACATGTTTGACAACTGAGCTGACCCCTTTATCTCCTTTTGGTGGACTCCTGGGGGCTCTCCAGGACACCTCTCCAGAAGAATAGTCACACTTCTTATGTGAATGCTCAGGGTTCCCAGGGCAAGTGTTTTAAAAGACAGGAAAAGACACTGCCAATATCATAAGACCTGGGCAGGACACAGGTACAGCATCACTTACCACAAATTCTCTTGGTCATGATGGTCAGAGAGTCCGCCCAGATCTGGAGAGAAAAGGCCGACTCTGTATCTTTAAAAGGATTTGCAGCTATCTTTTTTCTGGCACAAGGCCCATGAAGAGGCTGACCTTTCTGAAGCCATTTGCTAGAATCTATCCTGGAGTTCCCTTTGGAGTTAGATGAAAGCCAGATACACAGAGGGGACTCAAACAATGTGAATTAGAACTAACAATGAACCAAATATATAGGGGATATTATTTTCATTAGACTGAAAAGGAAAATTAAGAAATACTAAATGTGAAAATGTTTCCTGATTATAGCTAAATAAGAATCCTTTAATATATAAAAGCCCTGAATAGGACATTTAAAAAAAAAATAATGTCATACATCCTCTATTAGGAGAACACCAGTTACAATGCATTATGTGCATCTCTACTTAATCAGAGGTTACTTGTAGAAATAAACTTGCTAATTTTTTAAAGTAGAGTTTTTGTTGGGGGGGGGGTGGCTGGGGATGGGGAAGCATGAGTTTTCTCTTATAGAAGCTAAATAAAATTAAAGTATATATTTTATACCCAGTTTTCAAAGCAAGACTTCCTTTACTGCTGCTATATAAATGAGTCATCTCAGGCAATATATGCTTTCCCACAGATGAATAACATAAAAGTTATGTTAGCAGGGCTCTTCACAATTTAACCTAATACCACTTTCCCACCCTTATGTATCACTTCCCAATCCCACTAGTCAAAGACCACCAGGAACACACTTATAATTGAACAAGCTGGGTTATTACTCACTGCATTAAGGGAAACCAAATACCATGAAGAACCATGGGCGTCTCAGTAAAAAGATGTAAAGACTTACAAGATTTGGGCTTTTCTGTGACTATGTTGATCTTACCAAATCTCACTTAGCAAAAAGAAAGACAAATCCAAGGTTAAGGTGGTAAATTGGTGAAGACACAGAACTCATCATATTAGACTGGATACGGTAATGTTGGGTCATTTTTGTTACTTGGATAATGTTCATGTTTTGTCTATGTTTAGATATGACATCACTGACACAGTTACTTTGCCTGATGCTGATGTTCTGTGAAATTGTTTACATTCAGAACACCAATCCCCAGGCCAGGCTAACTCCAGATATTAGAGGCTGCTTTTTTCTTTGACTCTCCCAACATGCCATACTCATATGGGCCTTCAGTTTGCTCTGCTCTGTCTCTAATTCTGTTCTATTCAGTAACCTATATTTTCAAGAATCCTTCCCTTAGCACCTCATCTCAATTTTCTGAACTCCGACATCCTTTCTACTACATAGTTTTTGGTTGCTTGAGTTTATGCTTTGTTTCCTCGGATAAGATCACAGTGTACACCTCTCTCAGCGCTGGCAGAATACTGCAAATCACAGGCACCTAGCATTAAAAAAAAAAAAAATCACCAAAAAAGAAGAGGTAAAAGTTTATTTTCATGTTCCATAAACTCGGTGAGACTGCGTCACTAAATTCAGTACACTCGTTCTGGAATCCGGCTCCCAAAATCCTGACCAGAACTCGACAAGAATTAAGGTTTGAATAAATAATTGCGGGTAGAAAGGCCATAGGCTCATGTCTTCCGGGCCTCCAGAAGGCACACACTCCGTCCCCAACCCCATTGCTTCCCCCACCCCCACAAACACGCCGGCTCTCGCGTCAGACTACATTTCCCATAGTCCCTCAGAGACGACCAGGCGGTGCGATGTTCTGAACTACAATTCCCACAATCCTTGGACACCACCATCTTGTGTGGCTGCTCGCCATTTCCCATCAGCCCTTCCGGCTCTTACACACCCGGGAACAAGGTCGTGAAAAGAGGTGGTCTTGGTGTGGTTCCTTTCGTCTGGAGTCTCTGCGCTTTTCGCAGAACTTCCAACAGCGCTATGTTGGGACAGAGCATCCGGAGGTTCACAACCTCTGTGGTCCGTAGAGGCCACTATGAGGAGGGCCCAGGGAAGGTTAGTGTGCCAGGGGCCCCGCTTCGTTGGGGGAGGGGGCATTTAGCTGCGACTTCCTGAACTCCAAGGTCTCCCACGGACCGTGGAGAGGGAGACGGTAAGCAGGAGATGTGAGCTGGGACGTCGGGTAGCATTCCACTTCCCCCGGGATCCGGGGGCAAAGCACAGGGCCCCTGCTGCGCGCTGTCAGCGCATATAGGAATGAGTAGGAAGAACCATAGGCCCCACTTCGCCCTAGCGCTCCCCTCCGCGCCCTCGGAGTTCTGGAGGGTCCCTGAGGCCAAGGCTGCAGGTATATATGGCTTAAAGCCGAATTAGAGGTCACCGGAATCGGAGTGAAGGTCGTCGGGAACAAAGGAAGATGTGAGGGCCTGTGGTTGTGTGTCGAGTCTTCTGTAACCAAACTAGAAGTATTAAACCTCTTCAGTGGAAGTTGGGTTTAGCCTCAAGTCAATAGCTTATATCGAGTAGTTAGCAGTAACAGTCTCCAGTGATCGAGGCCTAGTCGGAAATGACGGAAGAAGGATTTAGATGGTAGCGCTGCTTGGTTATGAAAAAGTCAGTCTTCAGAATACATTTAACTTTGCCGTGTCCCTTTACCAGGTGACTAGTTTCTAACAAATAGTAAACTACAACGGTGCATTCTTTTTCTAAAATAATTCCCCTGAAGAGTAAAATTTTTCGACTTTGCTAAAGTAAAAGGAAACTTACCAGTGTGATAACACCGGAGTTATTAAGACCACTGCCTGGTGCTTGGTAAAGCCAGTTATTTTTTATCTTACAGCGTTAGGTGTGATGAAGGTCATAGGATGTAAAACATAATGTTTAAAAATATGGTATACATGGCAAACAAAACCTGATTATGAAAAAAGAAATCTAGCATCCTCTGTGTCATAGAGCCTATAAAATCAGAAAATTTGAAGTTTTTTTTGGTTGTTCTCTTTTTCCCCCCAACAGAATTTGCCATTTTCAGTGGAAAACAAGTGGCGGTTACTAGCTATGATGACTCTGTACTTTGGATCTGGATTTGCTGCACCTTTTTTTATAGTAAGGCACCAACTACTTAAGAAATGAGGTTTAAATTAATCCATTGAACAGGTAATTAATGGATTTCTAATCTTCTCAAAGCAATGTTTTCCCTTGTATTTTTCTCCCCGCCCTCATCACACACAAACACACACAGTGTAGGGCTGATTCCTGAAGTTAGTATAGATGGGCCATTGGTGGAGGCAGGTTGGTGAACCTATAAACAGATGTTTCTTTGCCTGAAACCCAGGGTTTATTGGATACTCCTGTTTGTCAGGCACACTTTACGTTAATCTCACGTAGTTACTTAGCAAGCCTGTGAGGTTGGGTGACTTAACCTGATCTAAGACACAAAGATGTTAAATTGCCCCATATCCGTTAACTAGTGATGGTGAGACAGGATTTTTAGCCAGTCTTGTTTCAGTTCACACTCTTAACCAGATAGAGTTCTGATAGACTAAATGTTAGGGCAACATATGTTTGTGCATGCCCCAGTCAGCCTTGGCCTTACGTGCTGTGAGATTAGCAGATTCTTTGTGTGAGAAGAAAACATTTATGTAGCTTAATTGTAAATAAGAATTTGTAAATCAGAATTTACCTCAAAGCAACATTTTGGTGAGCTCTGTGGAATGATTATAATAAATTCCAAAAGTACCCTTTGGAAAGAAAAGAGTTTGTCACAAAATACAAGGGCAGTTCTTTGTCCAAGTGATCCATAATGAAAAGATACTGGTACATATGATGAAGCAAATCAGTATGAATAAAGTCATGATACTGTAAACGCTTTCTGATGTACCAAACTGATGGACAGACAATATGTTAATAAAAGTACATGGTTTCTGTTTAATAAGTGACATTTTAAATACCAATACTTTTTTGTTTTCATTTACAGATGTGGAAAGGAGCATTTTAAGAGGTGCAGTCTGAAAAAATGGATCAAACTCTTGAATGCAACATACTCAATATGTTTGTAAATAAACTTATGGCATGAATCCTTAATGCCTCTTCTCTGAAACCTGGAATGTGATAATTGTGCTTACTTTTTATTTGGGAAATATTCCAGTATTTGGTCAAAATATGTGTGTAATTTAGCTTCTTTCTTGGTTTTAAATTTTGAGATTTAATTTTTGATTACTAGGTCATGACCTTGTTGGTAATTTATGTTATATAAAATAGAAACCTGAATTTGTCCCACAGTAATTTTTGTAATTGAAAAAGAGGAAGAAGTGTACTTGTAGTCTTTACTTTGAAGCTGTAAAATTGTTTCTCTTCATGAGTGATAATTAATTATGAGGAAAACCATTAGTGAGTATGTACAGAGTGAAGTCCAAGAGTTTTTTTCCTCCAGACTTGTAATCTAAAACTAAAATTTTTGCCTTGATAAATTTGCAGTTGACCAATACTAGTCTTGTTTAGACTGAATAAAAGAATATTTGAAATGAAATGTAATAACTTAATGCAAGGTAGAATGTACAGATATTATAAGTTTATTCTGGAACTTTAGTACATGGACTAAAAGATGGCTCTGAAGAGCCAAATTTATGTTATGGATAGTAAAATGCTGCTAGCTACTTAAAGTATAATGACTTAGTTCCTAGAGCTTTGAACTGGGGCTGGAAAAAGGTAGTCGGTGAATGTCTTAATCCTACTTTGGTCACTTTTAGAATACCACTGCTATTAGAGTAACGCCATGAAGCAGAGGTTGTAAACCAGTGGTCTCTTTGAGCTCTAGACTTCATGGTGATTGGAGGTACTATAGTTTTTAAAGCAGTATTTACAAACTAGAATAATTAAAAGAAAGTCTCTTGAAAAATTGCTCTGGGTGGTTCTACATCTCTTCATGGAACAAAACAGCTGTCTAAATTAGTCCTTACCATAACATTAGAGTTACTGTGTACCCCTAATGTTAAACTGCTAATATACTGGAGCTCTAAAGTAAAAAAAAACAAAACTTCTCAGTGTATGTGATAGGGCCTATCTTTACACTCTTGAATAACCACAAACAAACTACTTAAATATGGATACAAGTAAATCTTTATGACTTTGCCTAGCTTACTCCCTGTACTTGCAAGTCCTTGCGGTTTCTTTTGATTATCCAGTGATGAATCAGGTGTCTTCCTACATTTTTGGAACATTAAGACTTTCTACCTTTGGTAAGATAAAAAGTTTAAGGTTCATAAAATCATTTCGAATTCTTGGTTCAGATGTCTGCCATCAAATTACAAATGTAGCTGTCTTCGTTTTCTTGGAGGAAATAGGAATAGAGCCTATCCTGTATTGTTTTGAGACTCGATCACTATACGAAAACATTTTAATTTGTGGCAAGTCCTAAATGATTTTTTTTCTGGCTTAAAATATATCATGAGTCAGACTTTACTTACTATTGGACAGCAGAGTCTAGGTAGATAACATCTGATTTACTATATTTGTCTTCATAAGTTAAGGTATTTGAAGATTTTACATGAATTAGGAAAAAACCTACATTGCCCGTCCTGGGCGTGGAGCACAGGTTGCCTTATCGTAAAAAGGCTTCATTCAGCAAGCTAGGTTTTAGTGCATAAGTATACTGAGTAGTAGAGGCCAGACAAGTGTTTAGTTTTTGTACTTGGGTTCTCCAGAAAAACACCACATAGGATAAGTATAGAGAGAGATTTGTTTTAAGAAACTGGGTAATGTGATTGTGAAGGTTTGACAAGTCCAAACTCTGATGGGTGGAGCTGAAGGCTGGAGACCCAGGGAAGAGTTGCTGTTCCAGTCCAAAGGCGTCTTTTGGCAGAATTTCCTTTTCTGGGGGGCACCTGGCTGGTTCAGAGCATGAGACTCTTGATCTTAGGTTGTAAGTTTGAGCTCCACATTGGGTATAGAGATTACTTAGAAATAAAATCTTTGAAAATATTTTCTTGTACTAGCAACCCTTTCTTTCTTTTTTTTTTTTTTTAACATTTACTCATTTTTGTGAGAGTGAGGTGGGGGAGGAGCAGTGAAAAGGGGGGACAGAGGAGCCCAAGCAGGCTCTGCCCTGATAGCAGTAAGCCTGATGCAGGGCATAAACTCAAGAACTGAGAGATCATGACCTGAGCCAAAGTCAGATGATCCACCAACCCAGCCACCCTGGTGCCCCTGTCTTTTTTTTTTTTTTTTATTAAGGTCTTCTACTGATTGGGTGAGGCTAATCCACATTATGGAGAATGATCAGCTTTAATGAAACTCCTTCAATTTAAATGTTAATCTCCAAAAGAACACCACAAATATCCAGAATAACCTTTGACCAAATATCTGGACATAGTGGCTCAATCTAGTTGACATAACCATGACCCTTTCATATAAGAATATGATTCCATCTAGCATAGTTTGGAGTGTTGGCTTGGCTTTTGGAAAACTACAGAATATTTTTGTGGGGTTTATTTTCTTTTTTCCTGTTTTCCCCTATACTGGTTTTTCAAACTTCAAGCCAACACTTCAAACCACAAGATTCTTGGCTAGGCCAAGTAGAGTACTCCATACAGTTGCTTCCTTGACTCCAGAAGCCTGAATAGGGATTTGGGCAAGGGGTCAGAACCTGGGATTTGCTTTTAAGAAAAAGTACTATTATTGCTTCCATAATTAAGCTTTGGCCACCCTGAAGGGGGGAAAAAAAAAGCCATATTTTGCTACAGAGGCAGAACAAACGCGGTTAATATGGGTTTAGGACTAAGACTTCTTTGGATTCAAAACCAGGCTTGATCATGTATCTTCAACAAGAGACTGCCTCACTTCCTGTTACATCTATTTCAAAGATTAAAACTGGAAATAGGTCTTATTTAGGCAAGTTTCTTTAGGCTCCTGTAGACTGGTTTAACTGAAAAACAAAGTAGAAGAAATACTCAAATTTTTCAAGTTGATCCCACAGCCTTTCTGCAGTTGTGGATTGATATTTTCAGTTGCTCCAGCTGCAATCTCTAGGTGTCCAGCAGATACTTTATCATATCCAAAAATGCCTGAGAGCATGTTAGTAAGATACTAGTCTGATAGTCTGATCTTTTTTTTTTTTTTTAATTTATTTTTGAGAGAGAGATAGAGACAGCGTGAGCAGGGGAGGGTCAGAAAGAGAGGGAGACAGAATTCGAAGACAGGCTCCAGGCTCTGAGCTATCCAAGCTCTGAGTTAGCTGTCAGCACAGAGTCCAGCACGGGGCTCAAACCCACAAACCATGGTATCATAACTTGAGCTGAAGTCAGACACTTAACTGACTAAGCCACCCAGGTGACCCTATGCAAGCCTGATCTTATAGTAAGCAGTCACCATCAGTAAAATTCCAGCTCCTTAGTATGTCATTCAGTCATTTCCCTACAGTTCAGCATCACTCTAAGCCATATAGCTCCAGTTTTATGTACCTCCTCCAAATCTTAGCTCAGGTGCCACATTTTCTGTAAAGTTTTATCCTGCTGATCCTTCCCCAATATCCCAAACACATTACACATAAGTCTCCAACACTTTGTAAACAGCTTTACAATCAGCACAGCATGTACTGTAATTACTGATTTTCTTCCTTGTCTTTCATACCAGCATAGGATATTTCTGAGACCAGGGAGACTTTTATTTATTCATGTGTCCTGCATGTATAATTTAGTGGGTGGTCAATGAACATTGAGTGGAAACCAAGAATGATAAAACTACTTAAAAAGAGCAAATCCCAGACCTAATCTACACACCAAAATGGTGTGTGTCTCCATGTTTTCTAGATAAAAATGTTTTTCCTAAACAACTCGCTGAGTTGATTTCTCCAACCAAATGTATATTGAAGTAATCCAATTATTGCAGACTCAATGGGAGGAGTTTGTGCCAAAATGTAACTGAGCTACGTCACCTCCCACACTGTTTAGTCCATCTGATACTCTTTGTAGGCAAACTGATGAAAAGTAGTATGTGTTGGGTTATATTCTGGCAGTAGCTGTGGATCTTGTTTCAGACTAGCATTTTGAGAAGCACTGGCTTAAAAAATTAGGGAATGCATGGTGTTACCTAACAAGAAACCGAGCACAGTGGATTTAAGGACCATCTGTTTTAACCTGTTGTTCCTAAGGTCTTTGTCCTCTGATGGCTGCCATAGTTCCAAGCATCCCACACAGACTTGACAAATATCCAGCAAGAAAAATTACTGTTTCAAGTTCCTTTTTTTTAAATTTATTTATTTTGAGGGCGAGAGAGCGAACACAAGCAGGGGAGGGACAGAGAGAGAAGAGAGAATGAATCTCAAGCAGGCTCCACTCTGTCAGTGCTGAACCTGAAATGAGGCTGGATCCCACGAACCAAACCAGGAGATTATGACCTGAGGCAAAATCAAGAGTCAGTTGTTTAACCGATGGAGCCACCCAGGTGCCCCAGTTTCAAGTTATTTTTAAGCATGAAGAAAGATTGCCTAGAAATCCAGTACTCCTTGGGTACAGAGGTCATATATTCATACAACACCAGCAAGAGGAATGGGTGGCACCACAGTGATTAGATTTGAGCAATTAGGATTTTCTCCCAGGTCTTCTATGGGAAGAGTGGGCACTGAAACAAATCTGTTTTCTACAGTAAAGGGAAAAGAAAGTGGCTCTTGGTGTGTGAAAGACAGTACCTGCTGCAAGGACAGCTCTCAACTTAACAATGGTTTGACTTAAGGTGTTGTGACTGTAATGCTGGAAAGTGATACGAATTCTGTGGAAACTAGAATACTTTGAGTTGAGGATTTTGATCTTTTCCCAGGCTATCAGTAAGCAATAGGATCCACTGTGAGCCACTTTTTGCAGTCAGCCACACCGTCACCGGGGTAGAGAGCGGGTAGACTGACCAAGCATTCTGTTTTTCACTTTCAGTACAGTCTTCAATAAACTACATGAGATATTCAGCATTTTATTATAAAAATGGCTTTGTGTTAAATGATTTTCCCCAATGTAGGCTAATGCAAGTGTTCTGAGTGTGTTTAAGGTAGACTAGCCCAAGCTATGATGTTCCATAAGTTAGGTTTATTAAATGCATTTCACCTAAATGATAATTTCTACTTAGATTGGGTTTAACAGGATGTAACTTCATCATAAGTCAAGGAAGATATGTACAGTGAAAAGAAGGACCCAAATGTCAAAAATGTAATCTTTTGTTTTAGTGTATCCAATAAATAAAGATCTTTTTCTTATGGGTTTTTTTTTTTTCCTCTGAGAGAGAGACAGACAGCATGAATGAGGGAGGGTCAGAGAGAGAGGGAGATATAGAATCTGAAACAGGCTCCAGGCTCTGAGCTGGCTGTCAGCACAGAGCCGATGAGGGGCTCGAACCCACAAACTGTGAGATCATGACCTGAGCTGAAGTCAGACGCTTAACCGGCTGAGCCACCCAGGCACCCCTAAAGGTCTTTAGATTATAACCAGAATAAACTGATAGAGAAGAGAGGAGAAATCGTGTTGTGAGTTATTTTTTTTATTTCTTTTGAATAGAAAATAATTTTTCTACAGTAAATGGTGGAAGATTTTGCATGATTCATACTCTGTCCATATTAAACTTTTAAAAAAATTTTATGGATTATGAAATAATATTTTGTTCTTCCAGCGATTAAAATATTATAGATCAAAAGGAAGATAGCCATTTTCTATATATTTAACTTTGATACAGTGAAGATTTTTTTTAGTCAACATATAATTCAAAAAATGTATAGTTGATTTTTTGACAGACTGCTTGAACTCATATTTGAATAGGGGTACAAGCTGTTTGTGTCTTTTCCTAACCTGGTATTATAGTCATTAGGGTTTTTCACAAGTCTGCCAGTTATGCCAGGAGCGAACTCTGTCTCCTTTGCTTTG